TTTATGCTTGCATGTACATGTGTACATGGAACCTTTTTGCTCTCTTTGAAGGATGCCGATTCCTGTATTCAATAATATTTGAATTATCCACACACACACACATATATATATATGTGTGTGTATATGTATGTATGTACGTACGTATGTATGTGCGTATGTACATATATATATATATGTATACTAATATGTATATGCATAGATGCATGCATATGCACGAGCGCACATCTTCGCACAAACACAGTTGCGCCTGTAACCGGAATGTAGCATCGAACAGGATGCACGAGGGGCAATACCCACACATGCGCACGTGCACATAAAACCATAGACACGCGCATGTACACACAAATCACTGGCTTACGCACTGGTTTGCATGACATCTTGTCTTCTCTTGCACGATGTCGCAGATCCTAATACAGTATAACCTTAAACATTGGGACTCTGATTACAAGGAAGCCGAAGTAAGAAACCACATAAAGCCTTTAAAGCCTGCATAAGGCCTTGCCAAGCCATCAACTCTGATAAGACCCTAAGCCTTAATGCAGAAGCTTGACAAATTGCCAATCTTACTTTTCGTCCTTACGAGTCAGTCTGCAATTCTACAAGAATTTGCCCCCAAACCCGACTCTAATTCTTAAAGCCCCTATGTTAAGTTCGGGATTCTATAGTAATGCTACAATACTACTAAAAGAATACTCTTATACTTTACCCAGCCTTCTCCTCCTGCCAGTCGCAAGTCTTGACAGGCCTCTGCTGCTGATCCATAGCCTTTTTTGTCAAGGGCTTAGCTTTAGGGTTTAAGGTTTATAATAGGGCCTGGGGTCCAGGTGCTTTTGAGCCCCTTTTCTTCCCAATCTACTCCGGCGCATCTCAGAAAGCGGTCACATTGACCAGGGATAAGGGTTTAAGGTCTAGGCTCAAGGTTGAGGCTGATGCTTCTCAGGCTTTCTCAGAAAACACTGAAGCGTTTGATTCATGAATGGTCCTTGTGGAAAGACAGTACAAGGCTTTTCATGTTCTTTGTCGGGCTTCAGAAGGACTTGGGGGGATCCGCGGGTTCAAGTGTTACGAGGAATTGGGCACTCTTTGCGATGTGGAAATGGGTAGAGTGTAGAGCTCATGCCAACAAATTTGGGCTGGCTTCGGATGTTGACGCTGGTTTCCATTTTTACTGGCTTTGATGGAGAACGGGCAGAAATTATCGTTAGCGGACCCTTCCCTGTTTCTTGAGCAGGTCAACTGCAGATGGGCTCTCGCTCACTCTGTTGGAGTCAACACTGGGTTCCCATGCAATAGCTCAAAACTGCACACATGGTTACCTAGCTTGAGACTTCCCTGACCCCAGAAACTTGATCGTTTAGTTCTGGTAAGTTAGTTCTGACAACACACGAAACATATGTTGTGTATATATATATATAATAAAATTAACAACAATATAATAATAACAACAATAATAACAACAGTAATAATAATAACAATATATATATATATTCTATGTACATAAACAATACATATATACATCTAGATACTATGAAGATACACCCCCAACATGCTTGAGCTTACAAGTTACCTAAGGCAGCTCGGCTACCAAGGTGAAAGCCTCACCCAAAGGGGACTCCGAGCTCCGGGCTAAGGTGTGCGCAGCCCGGGATGCTCACGGGCACAAGAGCCGGCTTGCCTGGGTTCTTGTTAGGGAGATTTAATTTAAGTTACCATAATCGGGATCTTTAGTAAATAATATGGTCTCTTTATTATGGCAGTTGTATAGTTTATTATGGTAACTTAACTGAAATCCCCTAACAAGAACCCAGTTGCTCAGACGATCCCACACTTCCTGGAGCTGCCAGGCTTGGGGGGCACTGCCGATGGCTTCGGGAAGGCCTGGCAGCGTGCTGGGGGCGGGCGGGGCGGGTGGCGCAGCCGGCGGTTTTGGGAGTGAGCTGGCATAGCCCGAGCCTTGCGCACCTTCCGCCGTTCCCAGCCAAACCCTCTCCACGCGCGGCGGCCCCAGCTGCACCCCGTCCTTGAAGCGCACCACATGTCGGGTGAAAGCGCCCGCATCGGGCTCTGGTACCACGCGGCTGTTGCGCCACCAGCCCCATTTTGCGGCAGCGCTGGGCGTCGGCTGTAGCAACTTCTTCGGGGCTGGGGGTGGTGGAGGGCTTTCTGGTGCGGTGGGCGCTGCTGGTGCGTCCGGTGCCGTAGGTTCTCCTGGCGCTGCGGGCGGATCCTGGTCCGCTCCTTCTGGGATTTGTGGAGGCTCTCCTTCCACCGGCTCTTGCACACCCGGGCCTTCTGGAACAGGTGGCAGCCTCCCTTCCGGGATCTCTTCATGACTGAACAGCGCCGACAGCTCCTGCATATCAGTCCCGGCGTCATGAAACACCAAGACCGAAACGCTCTGAAACATCGTGGGTTCTGGGTTTAGGGCGGCTACAATCACAAAGGCAACATTACCCCATCCATATCTGTATATACACATACATACATACATACATACATACATACATACATACATATACACGCATACATGCATACATACATGCATACATACATACATGCACGCCTGCCTGCCTGCCTACGTACGTACGTACACACATACATACACATATACATACATATGTACATACACATATATATATATACACACATATTAATATACATATATATATATAATATAGATATACATACACCCACCCACACACACACACACGCACACACATGGTTCGGCTCCCATCTTCGCCCCGCTCGGGCGGTCCTGATGCTGCTTCTTGAGTCCTTCGTGCTCCTTCTGCAAGGTCTCATGGATGGCTTTTAAATGCTGCAGCTCGAGCTGCGTTGGGCTTGCCTGGCATCCAGAAAAGTCGAAATTCTAGGGCCTAGAACCCTGCAGCCACAAAGTCTACAAGAGAGAAGACACTTCGTGGAGGACAGGCACCCAAGCCCTGAAACTCGGATTTGGGTACTTGCACCAACAATCTGAGTCATGCTTGCTGAAGCGTGGATATACCTTAAAGTGTCAGCGCCACCAGCATGATTTTCATTGCTGAGGAGAATAACATAACAGCACCATGACTGATAACTGCAGGTACCAGTAGCTGCTAGCAACAGAACCAGCACAAGCAGCACCAGCAGCACCAGCAGCACCAGCAGCAACACCAGCAGCGCCACTGCACCACCACAGTGGCGACAATTCTTCAGTAGGCACATTGGGTGTCTGCTGGGGATGGCTTCGACCGAGATACTAAAGATTATCGACATGGGTAGTTCTCTAAATTAGGGTCCCTGTTTAGGTCCCGAATATAGTACGGCACCCTTATAAAAGGACCCCAAAAGGGACCCTAATTTAGAGAACTGCCCACATGGACAGGGTTGAGCTTCCGATGTACTAGCATGGCTGACATTGCTACAGGCAGGGTTGTGGATTCTGCGTCAAGGGTGTCGGGGCTTAATTACCCAAAACCCAAAAACCCCCAAACCTTAATCATTCAGGACCTTGGATCAAAAAGGACAGCCATGACTGCCGACCCATCCTTGCGCTCGGAACCAAGAGCCGCGCTACTCCGAGCGTTCTCGGGTTTAGGGTTTGGGCTTCAGGGCTTGGGGTTTAGGGTTTCTTCTCATGAAAGCCAAGGTCAAATTGCTACTTCCACCATCTCTGGGACCCTAAACCCTAAAACCCCCTAAACCCCCTAAAAACCCCCAAACCCCCTAAACCCTAAACCCATCTCCGGGACCTCGTTTTGTAAGCTCTGGAACTCGGGGGCAAAAGACCAAAAGCCCCAAGCGCACGTTGCCCGAAGACTGGCCCTCAAACCTAACAACCCCCCGAAAAAGTAGGGTTTAAGGTTTTAGGGGTTTAGGGTTTAGGGGTCTAGGGGTTTAGGGTTTAGGGCTTTAGGGGTTTAGGGGTCTAGGGGTTTAGGATTTAGGGTTTAGGGCCAAAAATTAGGGGTTTACAGTTTGGGGTTCCTAAGAGGTAAAATAATGGCCCAAGACCCATAAAGGATTATTATTTTGCAGAGTTTTGGGGTCCAGGTACAACCCAAACCCGAAAACTGAAGCACCCCAGCCTCTACCCGGATTCCGATGCCCTGAGCTCTCAAACTTGACCCCCCCCCCCTGGCACCGCAAGCAAACAAACATCCTGGAGACTCGCAAACCATAAAGCCCTAAACCGCGAAATCCTACATCTGTCAACCCCCCAAAATAAGCTTTCCGGATACGAAATGATACGCTTTTGAACGAACACTCCTACTGACCTTAATTCTAACACTCCGGTTGAAAATGTAGTATGAACAGCCTTGTTTCACCGTCACACAAACCCTCATCAGCACCCTTGTAAAGCCCTCAGGAGCCACAAAAACAACCTGTTGAAGCCGCTCAACACCCTTTTGACACCCGTCTCTTCTCTATCAAAACTAATCTAAACCCTAAACCCTAAAATCCTAAAACCCTAAAACCCTAAAGCCCTAAACGCTAAACCCTAAACCCTAAAACTCCTAAAGCCCTAAACCCTAAACCCTAATATCAAAACTTGAAAACCCGGCACCTCCTCCAACTCTTCCGGCTCGGCAGCATCCGAGCTTCGCCACTTCGCCAGGCGCCCACAGGCACGGCGGCTGCGGGCTCCGCGCCGCAGGCCTTCTTGACGTTTTGTGGCTGCTTGTTTGGGGTTTAGGGCTTAGGGCTTGCTGAACAATTTAATTGAAATGGGACCGGTAGGCAAATAACAAATGGTTTCCGGATTATGGTAAACTTCAACAAGAGTTGGCAAGAACCAACTGTTTTTGCTTCTGGGTTCTGAGGAAGCCCTGCTAGTCTGAAATTCCTGGCTGTCCAGTCTCCTAGAGGTCCTAGGAGAACAAAGTGCTCCTTAGCTTTTTGTGTAGTTCTCCAAGTTGGGGTCCCTTTTAGGTCCCAAAACCAATACTTCACCCTTATAAAAGATACCCCCGAAGGGACCCTAATTTAGAGAACTACCCATGTACAGGCATAGGGCCTTAGGGAGATACTGCAGGTAATCGTACAGCGCGTGATGCGGAGCCGTGTTTGCTGGAAGCATGTTCGAAGAGGTTTGCAATTCTAGATTTGGTAGGTCAAAACCCTAAACCCTAAACCCTATAAACCCTAAACCCTAAACCCTAAACCCTAAACCCTAGACCCCATACTCCGAACCCTAAGTCCGAAACCCTCAACCCCACCCTCTTAAGACCTAAACCTGAAACCCATACTCCAAACCCTAAGCTCTAAGTCCTAAGTCCTGGACCCTAAACCCCAAGCTGGCAGGGAGGATGAGGCCTGCAGCTTAGGGAGGTTCGGATTGCAAGTTGGAGGGTTTAGGGTTACAAAACGAGGTCCCGAAGATGGGTTTAGGGTTTAGGGTCTAGGGTTTATGGTTTTAGGGTTTAGGGTTTAGGGTTTGGTTTTTAGGGCTTGGATACTAGCGTGCGCAGTAGCGCCCTGTAATAAGGGTACCCTCTTTCCTCTTTCCTAGTGTTTGGCTTTGATAAGGGCGCACAGAAAGAAAAAAAGGGCAAAAGGGTACTGTACTGGGTAACCTAGGATACATAAGGGCGCGAGGGACACGGCTCCGGGATTGAAGTGTTTGAAGACTGCAAAGCTCAAAGCGGTTTAGGGTTTAGGGTTTAGGGTGCCGAACCAAGTGGGCCACGCACGTGTATATGCAGACAGACGGACAGACAAACAGACAGGCAAACAGACAGGCAGGTATACATTGCACACACACACATATACATCTGCACACATGCACATACACAGACCTGCATGCATGCATGCATCCCTCCCTCCATCCCTCCATCCATCCATATCCCTCCCTCCCTCTTTGGCTGTTCAGCTAGTAGCAGACCCTCGAAAACCCCTAAACCCTCAGCCTTAACCCGCCAATCAGGAGGCCCCAACAACCCTGAACCCCGAAGCCGCCAAGCGCAAAGATGAGTTTCTCGCAAACACTCAGAAAGGATCTTGGGGGTGCCTTCTGCTAGGAGTTCTGTTCGAAACCCTAAATTCTATTCGGGAACGTACAAGAGAGAATACTAAACCCTAAACCCTAACTTCTATTCGGGAAAGTATAAGAGAAAACGCTACACCCTAAACATCCCTAAAATCCTAAACTGCCCTAAACCCCTGCGGCACCTGATTCAGAGATCTCGGAGAGAAGGGTCTCCGACATCGGCGCCAGCAGCCGAACCTGGTCCTCAAGCAAAGTGTGGCGAAGGTGTTAGGGTTTAGGGTATAGGGTTTAGGGTTTAGGGGGTTTAGGGGGTTTAGGTGGTTTAGGGGGTTTAGGGGGTTTATAGGGTTTAGGGGGTTTATAGGGTTTAGGGTTTAGGGGGT